CTTCGTTCTGCCGAGGCATACGAGCGAGCTTTGCTCATAGACCACAAATGCGCCTTTGCCGCCCAAGGTCTTGCCATTGCTCTGGTCGAAGACACCCTCGCCCCTCGCGGTACCAACTATGGTGCTGAGGAAGGCAAGGTACGGGCGAGGATTGCGGGCAAGGCATTGGGTGTATTCTCGAGGATCCAAGACTCGTTGGCGGAGGGGCCGGTCAGTGTCAACATGGGACATTGCTACTTTATCAGGGGAGAGGAAGAAAAGGCGATCCAATCTGTGAGTCTGTCATTTCTACAGAAAGACAAAGCTGACTGGAGTAGTATGGTACCGCAAACAACGCATACGGCGGCAAGGACGTCTCTACTCTCCTCTACCTTGCTCGAGCTTGGTACGCCCTCGCTACTCGCACATCCAACTTTTCTGCCATGTCTAAAGCCCTCGCCTACTCTCAAACCGCCTTCCACCTCCTCCCTTCTGATCGCGCCATCCTTTACAACATTGCGATGATCCAGCAGAAGGCTGCCGAGATGTTGTTCTCGCTTCCATGCGAAAAGAGAACGCTGGAAGAGCTGCAATTGGGGTTGAGGCAAGCGGAGCATGCGGCCAAAAGCTTTAGGGGATTGGCGGACGACAAGACGAGGCCGTTACCTTATGATGTTGATCTCGCGGACCAACGTGCGAGGTATGGTGAAGGTCTTTTGAGACGAGCGCCTGGAGAGATGACCAAGCAAGAGACGTTTGAAGGGGAGGCACTCGCTCGGGTGGAGGAGGCGCGAAAGACGCGTGCGGAAGAGCAAGCCAAGATCCAAGCTGCCGAAGAGGCTCGCCAGGCGGAGCTTCGTGCCAAGGCGGAAGAGTTGGCGGAGCAGAGAAAGAAGGCGAGGGAAGAGGCTATGGCATGGCAAGAAGAGCTCGCCGCGAGACACGCCGAGGAAGAAGCCAAGCGGTTGTCGAATGCGGAGAAGAGGAAGAGGAAGAAGGATACCGGTGTCATTGACAGCGGGGACGAGGAAGGGGCCAAGAAGGAGAAGAAGCAGCGCAAGAAGAAGCCTGCAAAGGAAAAGAAGAGAAAGCAGAGGAGCAAGAGCGAAGTATCTTCTGAGGAGGAGGAAGCAAGTGCATCGGGAGAGGAGGAGGAGACTGAGGAGTCGATAGCGAAGAAGGCCAAGAGCACTCTGGCTATGCTCAAGGCGAAGAGAAAGTCTAAGCGAACAGACCCGGATGAGGATGATGACGAGGATGAGATCAATCAGGGGCAGTCCAAGAAGGGCAAGCAATTGTGAGTGCGCTTCTGTGTGTGACGGACTTGGCTAACATCGTGTAGCAAATCAAAAGCTTATATATCAGATTCGGAAGACGATTCGGACGCTGCGGAGGCCAACGAACCAACACAGGAAGGGTCTGCAAGCCCAGAGAAGAATGGCGGGATGGATGTGGACGAGGAAGATGAGTAGTGGTCTTGGGTTTTCATGGTATCAAAATGCATATTGTCTTGGAACTTTCATCTGCCCGGGTCTTTTTTACTGATGATGATCGGTAAGAGCCGCCTCGATTGCCTCCACCGGCCCACTCGGCCGCCCGTCGGGGACTTTTCTGGTGGGGTTGTTACATCTCGCTGCCATCTCGAGTACCGCCCAGCCTCTCGTACATAGCCATGCCCCTCTTCCCAAACCTGCGGGCACACCAGGTCTTTGGAGGTGCGTCCCCACAACTCAATCTCGATTGCAGCTGATCGTATGCAGCCAACACGGAGGTGGGCAAGACCCTCCTCACAACAGCCCTCCTCAGAGCATCAGCATCTCGCTTTGCAGAGACATCAGCAGAGGCGAAGAAAAGAGTGTTCTATCTCAAACCCGTTAGCACCGGGCCGGATTCAGAGTCCGATACCAGGTATGTATACCTGCCGGGGCTATACAAGACTGACATCGTACAGCTATGTAAACCGAAACACCAAGCCATGGTCAGACTACATCTCGACCCGCAACTTGTATCAATATCGCGAGCCCATGTCCCCTCATCTCGCGGCGAAGCTCGCCCCAGACCTCGTAGGTCGCCCCATCGCTGTGTCACTCGAGCTGACTCTTCTAGCCATTCCCGAAAACCAACGAAGAGCTTGTCCGCGGGATAGAGTCATACACCGAGCAGTGCCTCAAGGAACTGAATGGCGAGGAGGGCGCTCTCTTTGTCGAGACTGCTGGCGGTGTACACTCGCCCGCTCTCCATCCTCCCCATACCCAATCCACCTTCCTCCGTTCGCTCAGACTACCGTCTGTGCTCGTCGCCTCGCCTCATCTGGGCGGCATCTCGACGACAATCTCGGCATACGAGTCCCTTCTCGTGCGAGGTTACTCTCTTTCAGCTGTCCTCTGTCTTTACGACCCGTATTACCGCAACCACACCTTCCTTGAAGATTACTTCAAGGACCGTGGTATCGGCTACTGGACTATCAAGACCCCGCCAGAAAAGTATGGGACGGTGGAAGAAGACGGTGTGAGGCTGGAAGAGTGGTACAAGGATGTTGAGAGGAGCGTGGAGGGAGAACTGGGAGGTGGTGTAGGCGATGCAGCGAGATGGTTGGAAGATGGCCACAAGAAGAGGATCGAAGAGCTTGGGACTATGCCGCAGAGGACTCTTGATAGCGTATGGTGGCCGTTCACCCAACATCAACTTGTACGTTCATTCAATACCGGCTGGGCTGACAATGCAGATCAACAAGAAGGAAGATGTTATGGTGGTCGACTCTGCCTACGGGGACAACTTTGACGCCTTCTATACCAAGCCCGAGGGTAAAGAGATCTCCAAGAATGAAAGTCTGCTCAAGTCCTACTTTGATGGCTCTGCTAGTTGGTTCACGTACGTATCATCCAACCCTCACACACTCGCTAACTTGCCACAGACAATCCCACGGACACGCCAACGAGCACCTCACCCTCGCAGCCGCCTCCGCTGCCGGCCGGTACGGCCACGTCCTCTTCCCTTCTGGCACCAACGCCCCTGCCCTCGAGCTCGCTGAGAAATTGCTCTCAACCGTCGGTCAAGATTGGGCTAGCCGAGTCTTTTACTCGGATAATGGCAGTACAGCTATGGAGGTCGGGCTGAAGATGGCGCTGAGAGCTGCAGGTCGGCGGTATGGGTGGGACGGAGAGCTGGGAGGAGATGTGGGCGTTATCGGGTTGAGAGGCAGTTATCATGGAGATACGGTGAGTACTTGGGGATGAGCCATGAGGTCGAGCTGACGAGGGTAGATCGGGTCAATGGACGCTACACAAGCTTCGACATTCAACAAAGCTGTCGACTGGTACAGAGGCAGAGGCCACTGGTTCTCCCCTCCCATGGTCCAATTCGTCGACGGCAAACCTTCCGTCCTCTCTACCGCCCCCGACTCTTGGCCCACCCTCCCCTCCTCCCTCTCTAGCACCCCCACCCCAGATGGCTGGCAAGTCGCCTTCCCTTCCTACGAAGCTATATACGACATCTCATCCCGTTCTTCTTCTCCCCTCGCTACATACTACCGCGCACACATCCGTGAGACTTTGGAGAGGTTGACCAAGGAGGGAAAGAAGTTTGGCGCGCTGGTGATGGAACCGACGTGTCTCGGCGCGGGCGGTATGGTATTTGTGGACCCTTTGTTCCAAAGCTGTATGGTAGAGGTCGTTCGGGCGAGTGGTGACCTTTTCGCCAAGGAGTGGGACGGAGGATCGTATGAGCAGGAACTCGAGGGGCTCAAGACCCGAGATGGAGGTGAATGGCAGGGACTGCCCGTCCTGTACGATGAAGGTGAGTCGACCTCTTGTTGAATGACGCTTACAACCCAGTCTTCTCCGGTCTTAACCGATTCGGCTACAACTCTGCCGCCTCTGTCCTCGGCCACACCCCCGACATCTCTGCCTACGCCAAGATCCTCACCGGTGGTCTATTACCACTCTCAACCACCCTCGCTTCCCCCTCCATCTTCAAAGCCTTCCTCTCTGACCACAAGGTTGACGCGCTTCTGCATGGGCATTCGTACACCGCCAACCCTATTGGGTGCTCGGTAGCACTGGAAGCGATAAAGTTGACTCAGGAATACGAGAAGAAGGGCGGGTGGCAGGGGGAGAAGAAGATGTGGGGGGTGGAGGATGGTGGTAGATGGAGTTTCTGGAAGAAGGAGTTTGTGGAGGGGATCAGTCAGATTGAGGGCGTCAAGGGGGCGATGGCTATGGGTACTGTGGTTGCCATCGAGCTTCAGGATGATGAGAGTGGTACGTGTCAACTCTTCTACTGGCGGTGCTGACTCCAACTAGATTATTCTTCCCACGTCGCCCTCGAGTTCCTCAACGACCTGCGCAAGATCACCGTTTCTCCCTCTTCCTCCGAGGCCGAGTCCATCACGCCCTTCTCCCCCTTCCAGATCCACTCTCGCCCCCTCGGTAATGTCGTCTATCTCATCACGAGCTTGTGGACAAAGCCAGAGGTGATGCGCGCGATGGAGGGGGTGATTGAAGAGAGGTTGAAGAGCAGGGCAGAGTTTGGGGAGGTGCTGAAGGCTAGGAATGCGTAATGGCATGTGCAGTGTTGGGGTTATGCATCAGCATGGATAAGATCTTGCATGCTGATGGACTTGAGAGTGAATGGGGTTGCATTGGATACAAGCTTCTCTAAAATTACGCGCTAGTGCGCATGGGGTTTTGCCATATTCGACTAGACAAGTGATTGACTTGAGGAGACGGCCAAGAGAAGGCAAGAAGGCTAATAGACCTGGGGGGAGACCTACGCGTGTGCATGCGTTGGCAGCTGTTGAGAGGGTGCAGTGGGGTAGCCAGTAGCCCTGAGGTGATGGTGAGAGTCAACAGCGCGTCCAAGTCCCGCCCATGACCTTACACGAGCAAGGCTGGAGCTGGGCGTATGGCGCGTCGAGCCACCGTGCGCGTACAAAAACAATGCTCACTTTGCTTCATATGTAGCCAGAGCAAAGACAAGTCAGTGAATTGATTGCAACAAGAATCCAAGTGCAGCAGTCAAGAGCAGGTTTAGTGATGTAGAGAATGGCCAAGGCTGCATATCAAAAGAGAGCCGGCGTATAAAAATATAGAAGATAAAAACGAAGTTGTAAAAGCACCAACACCCCTAGAGTACAAAAAGACACTGCTTAAGATCGCTCGCCTCGGAGTCGTCGAGCAAGCTGGAGGTCCTTGGGCTGGATAGTGACACGCTTGGCGTGGATGGCAGCCAAGTTGGTGTCCTCAAAGAGAGAGACGAGGTAGGCCTCGGAAGCCTCCTGGAGAGCCATGACAGCGTTAGACTGGAATCGGAGGTCGGTCTGGAAAGAGAGTCAGCGAGAGTAGCAAGAAAAAGAGGCAGAAGGCTCACCTTGAAGTCCTGGGCGATTTCCCTAACAAGTCGCTGGAAGGGGAGCTTCCTGATGAGGAGCTCGGTAGACTTCTGGTATCGTCGGATCTCTCGGAGAGCGACGGTACCGGGCCTGTACCTGTGGGGCTTCTTGACACCACCAGCGGCGGCGGCGGTGGTCTGCTTCCTGGCGGCCTTGGTAGCGACTGGAGAAAGAGTCAGTGATGAAGCGGAGGCTGGGCTGGAGGGTACTCACGCTGCTTCCTGGGGGCCTTGCCACCGGTGGACTTTCGGGCGGTCTGCTTGGTTCGGGCCATTGTGAATGTGTGTGTGTGGTTTGTTGTGGTGGAGAGAAGTGGAGAGAGAGAAGTGGTTGTTGATGGAGAGAAGGAAGATGCGAGATGGAGATTATATAGGGGCAGCGCTGGCCCGCGGCGGTGGAGGGCGTGTTTGACCCAGGCACGATCACTGATTATTGAATTATCGCAGTCACGTGATATATTCACAGCGAATTAATCTAGGCACCGCGGGATTACAAAAATCACTTGCATTTAAATGCGTGTGGCAGAATCCTCCAGTCCCCGCGAAATGCCACGCAATGCACAGAGATGCAATTCATCCTCTGTTTGTCCATCATCCGCATAATCACCCCCATCGCCCAGAAAAAACCAGGCCCCCCCCCCCCGAATAATCTCTCACCCGCTCTCCCATGCACATCACCTACTGATCCCAACAGCCTTCATGCACCCCTCTGTCTCTGCCCTCTCTTGACCCGATCATGGCTCAGTGACCATTGACCAAACGCCATTGACGATCAGGAAACGCGTACTCCATGCACGTACATCCTGGACGGAGGGGAGACAGGTGGCAGGTGGATGGAAACCACGTAGAATACAAGATTACTGGCCAATCTCTGGGGAGCGATGGTCGCTACGTAGGCTGTGCCCGTATAGTATGAGCACTCTGAGAGAGAACTTGACGGTGAAAGAGCGGGGACAAGAGTCGGATCTGTTGCGGTACAATCGGTTGACAGGGCGCTGCTTGCATATGTGTACGACGACAGGAGAGTGAGGGATCCTTGGCATACCTGGCCGAGTGAAGAGTAACTAGTAGGTCGTCTGTGAGATGACTGCGCCGAGAGGGAGGAAAGCTTGAGCTTTGTGAACTGCTCGTTGGCTTGAGGTTTGTTGGTCAGGTGTTGCTGCACAGCTAGTCATGGAATACTACTTGAACGGTCGATGTTTATAATGTAGCGGGCGCTGTTCGAGGGTAGAAGACAGGAAGACCTGTTCCAAGGCAATGTCGAATGTCAAACGCGATGATCATGTCAACGTTGTCGTGTACGATGTGTCGTCCTCAGGCTCATGACCCGTAGACCCATAGTGGACGCGTCGGGTAGAGTACAGTCTATACATACAACATCATGGAGGGCGGAAGGGGAGCTTGTCTTGTCTATATACGCGTCTTGTCGCTTCTTCGTTCAACAACGCGTGCGAGTCAAATCGAGGATAAACTGGTTCAGATGCACCATTGATGGTAGTAGCTGTCATAGGCAGTGTCCACCGTTCAGGCAGACATGGCTGTCGTCGTGTACGAAGGTTAGGATATCTATAGGGGTCGACAGCAGGGGCGTCGCGTCAGCAACAAGGAGAGAAGAAGAAGGATACTGAAAGTGGTGTGGTGGGTGATAGACGCGATGGACACGGGGTGGCATGAGCCAAGAGAAGAGACGTGCTGTAAACAGCTGGTGTCGACCGATCTGTATGGTACCAGCTCAAGCGCATTGCTAGTAGAGGACAAGACGCATAGCCGACACCCTACCACGCTCGGTGTATGTCGTTCATCTATGCGACGACCTCGTCCCCTCTGTCAGTTTGAGCAGTGTGTTGGTTCCAGAGACAGCCACCGTCTACAGTCTCCATCTCTCTAGTAGGTCATGGATTTGAATCGGGATGGAGAGGAGTGTTCACGGGTTTGACATAGTCCCCGAGCGAAGAGTTTCGATCAACGCCGACGACGAGGGCGTCATGCTTGTCCCTCTTAGTTCGGCCCGTCCCCTCTCTCGTCCGAGGCCAATAGACAATGCCAAGTCATATGCAGCCCAGCAGCTAACTCCTGTCTCTTGGGATCTTCCTAGTCTGCACACTGTCTCAACAGATGAACGATCATATCAACGTCGCCGCCACCTTAGTCGGCTCGTCACCTCAACATGTATGATACTACAGGTGTTGATCAAGTGTATCAAAACACATCAAGCGGTAAGAGAAGTGCCCACTGAACGCAGCCGGGTGGCAGTCAGATAATGACATGGTTCTGATCCGTCCCGACAACAATTAGTTGGTCAACATGGTCTTCGACGTTGTATGACCAGCCTTGCCCCCATGGTTCACGTTGACCGAAGTGACCAAGCGCTACTGACATCGACATGTTCAATCAAGGTAGGCAAGCTAACAAGATTATGGTGAAGCTAGGCGCTAGACCTTGCTGTATGTCGGATTACCAAAGCAGAGCAAGCTTAGCGGGGTTAAGGGCTATTCCGTCTAATCACACTCGCCAAGCATTGGTATCGTCTCAACGTCAGATTAGGAGTGAAGAAATACGTAGAGATGGTACTCCGGACTGATATAGGGGGCATAGCAAGCCACAACATATTCACATAGCGTCAAAGCCGTCTTCCATAAGCGCAAGACATACACCGACGGCGTGTACTCGAGTACGAGTACCGTACTAGAGATGCCTTTTCTTTGGAACTCGATGCCAATCTTCTGAGGAACCCAGCAAGATTGAGCTGGCATAGAGGACAGAAGGAGCAATAGGCATCCATTCGGGTATGGAGAAGAAGGCGCCAGAAGAAGAGTCGCCTGAGGAGGTCGATCGTCTCTACACGGATTATGAGCCTCGTGGGAGCTGTACTTTGCGTCCTCGATTGAACACCCTGACGAGTCAATCACTGGAGGGGTATGCATAGCAGATCGGTAAGCATGGTAGAAAAGCCAAAGTATGAAAGAGGTGGGAGGTCGGCCGAGTCGACAATGCAAGTCGCGCTGTGCGGTATCAAATTCCCGCCACCAAACAACGCGTCAACAAGTCAATTCACACAACTCAAGACAGCACTGCAAATGGACACGCAAAGCACAGAAGACAAAAGGTGGATGGATAATTGGACAATTCATGTCAAATAGAGCTAGCGAAGACGAAGTATAAAAGGTTGTGACACTAGCATCTAGCGCACATGTACAAGAAAGCTACTACAACCGCGACACGACCACCGTTTACTTGGAAGAAGAGTACTTGGTGACGGCCTTGGTACCCTCAGAGATGGCGTGCTTGGAAAGCTCTCCGGGAAGGATAAGTCGGACAGAGGTCTGGATCTCTCGGGAAGAGATGGTAGATCGGTGGTTGTAAGAAGCAAGCTTAGAGGCCTCGGTGGCAATTCGCTCGAAGATGTCAGAGACGAAAGAGTTGAGGATGTTCATGGCCTTGTTACTGAAGACAAGTCAGGCAATGTCCAAGTCATGTGATGAAGGGAAACATACGAGATACCAGTGTCGGGGTGGACCTGCTTGAGGACCTTGTAGATGTAAGAGGCGTAAGACTCAACCCTCTTCTTGGACCTCTTCTTAGAGCCGTCCTTGGGGGCAGCGGAGGTCTTGGCGGCCTGAGTTGATGTCAGTCGAGTTCAAGTACAAGTGTGGACGCGTCTCACCTTAGCGGGAGCCTTGGAGGCGGCGGCGGGGGCCTTGGAAGCCTGGGAAGCGGGGGCCTTGGAAGCGACGGACTTGGGAGCCATTGTGAATAAGTTTGTTGTGTGTGGGTGGGTGGTGGTGTGGAGAGTGAAGTTGAAAAGATGTGGATGAGAAAGACAGATGAGAATGCAGACGCGCGGTATTTGTAGTGGGTGGTTTCTCGCGGGCGAGTTACGTAAATGGGCCTCCCTGAAAAAGGCGACGTGGAAGGATCTCGCGGAAAATGATTATTCAAGGCACAGGCACCAGAAATCATTTTTGAAAATCGTGACGCCACCGTTTCTGCGCGCGTCCGCGGGAACAAATCCCCACGCGCCCCCTATATAAATCGCATCTCCTCCTCTTCTTTCTCTCCATCCACAAGTTCCCAACTCTCTCCACTTTAAATCCACTACCCACCCAACTCAAACTACTTATCAACAATGTCCTCCGGTGGTAAAGGAAAGGCCTCTTCCGAGACCAAGTCTTCTTCCCGATCGTCCAAGGCCGGTCTTCAGTGTGAGTAGCCTCCTGTCTTTTACTTGGTCATTCACTGACTTGTCTTCCAGTCCCTGTCGGTCGTATCCACCGTCTCTTGAAGAAAGGCAACTACGCCCAGCGAATCGGTTCCGGTGCCCCCGTCTACCTTGCTGCCGTCCTTGAGTGTTAGTCGCGCCTTTCCCACAGTCATCTACTCTTGCTGACTTGTCTTTAGACCTCGCTGCCGAGATCCTCGAGTTGGCCGGTAACGCTGCCCGAGACAACAAGAAGTCCCGTATCGTGCCCCGACACTTGCAGCTCGCCGTCCGAAACGACGAAGAGCTCAACAAGCTCCTCGGCTCTGTTGTCATCTCTCAGGGTGGTGTCCTTCCCCACATCATGGCCGAGCTCTTGCCCGTCAAGACCAAGGGAAAGGCCAAGGCTTCTCAGGAGGTTTAAGGTTGTGGTCTTTTTGTAGTTTTATCTTGCCCTCTTTTATACTTCGTTTTCGCTAGCTCTATTTGACTCTGCCTACCATGCAGCACTGTTATCACACACTCTTGCTGCATTCATGTCTCTTGCATTGCCCGCTGCACCCCTCTGGGGGCTTGTTTGCGCCGACTTGACGCGTTGTTTGGCGAGTTGTCGGCGGGTTCTCGCGGTGACGGTCGGCCTCGTGGCGCGCGCCGGTGAGTCGTTTCCCATCCTCTTTTGTCCCCACAACGGGTTGTTGGCTCGCTGCAGCATGCTTTCGACCCGGGTAATTGCCTGCATAGCATAGGTGAGTGACTGCTCAAGCTGGGACCGGCTGTACTTGGGCAGACGCACTGACACCTCTGCAGTCATCACGCGTCGTATGCAACCTCCATTGACCTTGGTCACCACCTTCCCTGTGTGCCCCTAGCAGGCCTCGCCACCCACCTCACTCCTCGCCATATCCCTCTGCCTCAAGAAGCATCTACGCGTGTCTGATAATGTTATAAAGAGCTGCTGGCACCCGTCCCGCTGAATCTTTCACGGTCGCCCGCACAGACAACCGAGATCACCGACATGTCGTTCTTTTGCCACCAAGGATTGGCTTCCAACAGCCTTCACATTGTCTCTGGACCTGTCTTTACCGGATACTATGCTTGGACAGACCAAGGACTGCAGCTCGGTCGGCCTCAAAATGCCTCGGGGATTGAGATGGACGATGGAGGGGCGCTCAGGCCAGTTGTCAGGCTGTGCGGTCTAGCTGGACGCGTACTCGTCGGGCGCCATGGAGAGGATCAGCAGTTGGCAAGAGGTGAGTACTACCGCCGCCTTTCTGTTGTCTTGAACTGATACGAGGCTATAACGCATACAGAAGAGTGGATCGTACGGCAAGACACCCTTATTTCTTGACAGACTGTCGGAATTGGACGGAGGATGCACCGGGCGTCGGGGTATGCGAGGCGGCCAGGATGTGGGTCCACAGACAAAGGTGAGTGTTGCGTTCTTATGGCTGGGGAAACTGCTGAGACAAGGTCGCAGCGTATTGCTGGTATTGTGGGTTCAACAGCGTTGAGCGCCTGCTTCTGGAAGTTACTCTCCGCCCTCTCCTTCATTCATTGGCGTGGGCCGGGTGTCGGGACTTGTGAACATGGGCACTGCTTTGTAGCGGACAGTGATGAAAGCTATGAATGTCTTGAATTGAACGTTGGCTTGTAAAAGGATGGGCGTCGTGGACTGAGTCGTTCTCGCCTGAGTCGGCCATGATCGGGACGGACTACTACATTATGGCAAGAGCATCTACAAGGAGGGCCTGCAAATAGGACTGGAGTAATAATGAAGAGCACACAAGGGTGGGGGTAGCAGAATGGATTGAGCGAACAACCCTATCAACGGAAGGTCGACTTGCTTCTTTTGTGGGGTTTTTGTGTCGGGGACGCAAGGTTGACGTTGCAGTTCCTGCTTTGTCGACGATCTCAAATGATTATGCCTGCAGGATACAAAAAGGCTGAAGGGGAAGAATGGGAAGGAGAGACGCATCACCAACCACGACAATACTCTACATCTGTGCTTCAACATGAGTGACTATCAACAGAGGACCAACGATGGTGCTTCCCAGAACAACACCGTAGGCATTCTTCATCCGATACCTGTGTACTCTGATAGTGTCAAGGGTTGACGATGCTGACTTGTTGCATAGGTGAATATGGCTCCGACTAGCAGCTCGGTGGAAACCACCTCGTCCTCTTCATCCGCCAAGAAGCGAGGACGGGAGGCTTCCATGCTGCAATGTGGGTTATCGAGTCGCCCATCGTGCTGTGATGGGTCTTCTATCCCATCCTAGACACTACTGATATCTCCCATTGCAGCCGAACATGATCGGCTATTAAAACGACGCCAACGTAGTAAGTCCTCCTCCTCGTCATTACCATACCAGTAGTTACTCGGCGAGAGCGTTGCTGATGTCTTGGTTCTGATCTTCGGTCAGACATAGAAAATGCACGTAGGTCAAACGCCGCTGCAAAAAATAGAGAGGCGGAGCTTGAAGAGACGGTCACGCGACTTCAATCGGCGACCGAGTCAACACAGAATGAGAACGAACAGTTGAAGGCTATGATAGAAGAGCTTCAACTCCTCAAGACCCAAGCCGAGCTGGAGGAAGCACAGTCCCAGGAGATCGATTGGGAGGCGATTGTGAATGAGATCGACTGGGAGAAGACTACAAATTAGTTCTACGTATCGACACGGGTCATTGTCAGATGGAGATGGATGACTGTGAGAGCATGAAACGGTGTTTTGATTAGTCACTACCCTCTCATACTCGCCATCGGTCTCATTGAGACACGCCTCTTTCTAAGCTCAATACATTGACCGGCGGACTCAGGCTGTTGACCCGAGTGACGTTGAAGAAGGAAGGGAAGAAAAAAAATGGATGAGGAAGAAGAAGCGCGGCGCCACATGAATCTCACGAAAGGGGGGGGGGAGGGCTCGATAACTTGAGAGGGTACGGTCGATCCCTCGGCAAAAATATCATTCAACGGCATCATCCCCTCTCATTGGACAGGCCAGGGAGGCAGAGATCCCGAAGTTCAATCTGACATGATTAAACGGCGCTGAAGAAGTAAGGGCAAGAAGGACAGAGCAAGATGCGGTCATGACCTGGCAATTGCATTAGCATCATGATAGTGAGATGGCATAGGAGCAATGCAGATGTTGGCGAGGCAAAGATCATGTCAGGTTTCATGTATGGCATACTCGAAACAACTCACACTGCAACATGTCTATGTGCCGTGCCAGGGGGGCTTCTGTCTTGATAACCACCAACACGTCGTCCCGCCAATGGCTGATTCCGAACATGGAGAGGGATGCAGATCAGGTAGCTTACCCGAAATAGAGGCGTAGATTTAGGATGCGCTGAATGTCGCTAGCTGAACATGGACAATGAGCTGATCATGCGACGAGCAAGCGTCGCCAACTAAGATCATATCACTCAAGTATCTGAACATACGGTAGATGAGTACCTTTGCTCATTGGTCTCGACTGAGCTTTGGCATATAGAAAGATGCATAGGCTGCAGCTTCCTCATAGCTCACGCCGAGCTTGACAGCCATCTCACTACCGGCGCGCTCCAACTCAGATCTGACGACCCAAGACGCCGAACCACAGCACTGATGTTGTTGCCCTCCTACAACTTGGCCGTGGTAGGCAGCACAGCCACGCACTCAATCTCTACATCCGTTCCCCTGGGAAGGGTTGCCACCCCTATGCAGCTCCTGGCAGGCGGGGGTGATGGAACACGCTTGGTGTATGCGGCGTTGAGCTCGTCAAAGATGTCGTAGGAGGTGATCTGGGAAGAACGGGATGAGCGCGACCCAACATATACAGCGGTAGGCCTACAAAGATGTTGAATTTGACAGTATGCTCGAGCCCGCTCCCATGGGCTTTCAACACGGCTTCCAGATTATCCATGATCTGCTCCTATTCGTTCGAGCGCGTCAGTAGACAACCTGAGAAAGAAGGTCGTCGAGGATGCGGCTGAGGACGTACGACCCGTTTAGTGATGGGACCCTCGACAAGCTTTCCATCAGGGGTAGCACCGATCTGTCCGGAGCAGTATACAAAGCCGTTGGACACCACCGCTGCGGCTGTCAAGATGAGAGTCAGCTGGGAGCTCAGAGGTCCGCTATAGGACTTACACAAGAAAGGCAATTTGGCGTAGCCTGGGACACTGTTTGCGATTCTTTGGGAGGTCATATCGCACACTGTAAGGATGTGTTTATGGGGTACAGGGTCGATAGTCAGCGAGCTTTATACAGAAGAGGAACCAAATTCGCGACTGCCTGTTGATAGCCGAGATGTCGGTGTTTTATCGGAGAAGGCCGATAGAGCGCGCTCATTTCCTCTGTCATCTGAACTGACTTCGTTCCGTCGCTCTACTCTTGATATAGACCTTAATGAGTGACGTTGATCTACCAGGGATGAGTGAGAGTGCAAATCCGCCCGCCTGCAGCGCCCTACGCAGTATCTGGGAACACGAGCTCGTCGACGCATCAATTGCTTGGGCATAGCAGTGGCATAACTCGACAACCGAGTCACTATTACGATGGAGACAAATTTGTAGGTCTGAACTAAGGTATGATATACAACCTAAATTACCATTATATGACTCCTCCTTCTCAAGCTCTTTGAGAAGACGGCGTACTGTACTTGGGACATCATGCTGAGGACTCTGTAGCACTGTCCCTGTATGGCTCTACCACTTTCTTCCTCGTCAACCTTTCATAGTGGCCCTGTCGAGGTTGTCAGCGGTCGGATAAGATTTGCGAATCAAAGATACGCACCCCGCAAGATTCACAGAGTGTATCCGGGCCATCCGGCCCCTCCCTCCACCCGTCTCTCACCCCAATGCCACACCCATGACATCTTCCAACCCACGACAAACTTTTAGCCGTGATAGGGCCGTCCTCCCCCAAGCCCCTATGTTGTAGCAGCCGCGACGAGGCAATCTCGCTGGCCTCCGAGAGAGCCGAGAAGTTGCCAAGGCCAGGGGAACCGTTCATGCCGTTGCGAACCGAGTAAGATGAAGTGGCAGGAGGACGCAGTTTCGAGTTGGGTCGACCTCCGACGCTATTATGACCGGCAGCAGCGGCTGCTTGGGCACGCGCGATGAGGATATCACGTCGTTTCCTAATAACCTCCATCTCTCTCTCCGCCTGGCTCATTTCTTCTTCCAGCCTGGCTTGATCCAAATTGTGTTCTTCTGCTTGTACTTCCACCCTCTTCCTTCGAGTTTGGGCTTCGGTACTAGATTCGGGATCTGGTTTTTTGGCGGTAGAGGCGGTTGGAGTGATGGTAGCGGGAGCAAGGAGAGTGGCAGGAGGGATAAAGGAAGGAATGAATCCAGGAGCAAGGTTTGTATGGAGGTGTGGTGCCAGAGAGGAGAGGGATTGGTGAACAGATGAGGAGAGACGCGTAAAGCGGGTCGTCAGATACAGTGGAGGAGGAGGTGGTCGCGGTTGTTGAGCTGACGGGGCTACGAGTGGTCAGATCTGATGCCAAGTGCAAGGCAGAACTCACCAAATGGTTGCAGCAATGAAATGAGTTCATTCAGGTTCGCCCGCAACTGTAAACGTCAGCATCGATCTTTCTAGACAGGAGCAAGACTCACTTGGTTCACCTCCTGCTCGACACTAGTAAATCCAGCAGCGGGTAATTGTCCATAGTCTGGGCGTGGCGCTTCATAGCCATTTCCATAGTACTCATCTCCAGCCGGTCTAGCATCCCACCCATTTGAAGGTCCCTCCACTGGTGAAATTGTCCGATTCCCACTCAAGGTCTGATGATCCGAAGCCAACCAAGGGGATCCTGTTTTGGGCATCATTCCCGGTCCAGGCGAGCGCTTTCTCTTCTCAGCAAGACCCGAAGTCTGCCTCGAGACTTTACTTTCAAACCTTCCCATTTCGGCCTCACTGCTCTTGGGTGAGGAATAAGATTTCACGTGTGGTGCAAGGCGCAAAGGGCGGCCCGTGTCGTCTTGAGAAATTGTCGGAGCGAGGTCGGGAGTGGAGGAGCGTGTTGTGGGGGCGGAGATGTGGTTGGGCGAGGCTGGGTACCGCGACATGGTATGAATGTGCAAGAGGGGGGTTTTGGAACCCCTGGAGGGCGATGTTATGAATATTTTGCGGTGATCTGGAAAGAACTGCTCACACCAGCATGGCTTGGGAGCAGAAGACGATCCCCTTTGCGGACATTGCCGGCCGTGCCTCAGATCACCGAGATCTAACTTCTCTCTTTTGTTGACTTTTCTCGTCACCGCCATGAAATCGTATACCCCAGGTGCGTCGCCCAGATCTGCCCCATGCATGGCTGACACGTCACACCCAGCTCGTCTCTTCTCGTCGTCAGCACGGCTGAGCATACCCAAGCCACGCCTCGACTACCACCGCCTACTGTCCGACCCAGCCCTGACAGCTCAAAATGCAAAACTCCGCGCGTTTCCTCTCCCTTCAGATCACTTGTCAAGACTCTCAGAGCTGCGGGCGTCTCAGCGTGAACTTACGAGACTGTTGAACGCTTCGCGGGCCAAGCAGAGAGAGGTGGGCAACCTCATGAAGCAGGGTAAAGGCTCGCCGGCCGAGGATATCAAGCAGCAAGCAAAAGATCTCAAAACGCAAGTCAAAGAGTACGAATCTGCGCTCTTGGCTGCCGAAGAGAACTTGCTGGATATGGCCCTGGCTCTACCCAACTTCTCGCATCCCTCGACACCTATAGGTCCAGAGGAGAACGCTGTGACCCTCGAGACCTTCGGACCCCCACCTACTCCTGCCGACCAAGCAAGGGATCACACCGCATTCGCCGCATACTTTGGATTCCTCTCCCCTTCTTCCTCTGCCACCACCACCGGCGCTTCATGGCCATACCTCATCGGGCCTCTCGCTCTCTTGGAACAGGCCTTGGTCAACTATGCTCTCAGCATCGCTGTCAAGAAGGGTTACCGTCCAGTGGCCCCGCCTGATGTGATCAAGAGCGACATTGCTTGGCGATGTGGTTTCCAGCCCCGAGACCCCTCTGGATCTTCTTCCCAGACATACCACCTCCTCCCCACGTCTGCCTCAAAAAAGGCCGAGCCTCTCTGCCTCACTGGCACGTCCGAGATTCCGCTGGCGGGCATGTTTGCAGAGACAATCTTTCCAGCGTCAGATCTGCCGCAAAAGGTGGTCGGCGTGGGAAAGGCATTCAGGGCTGAAGCTGGTGCCAGGGGGGCGGACACGAGGGGTCTCTATAGGGTGCATCAGTTCACCAAGGTTGAGCTGTTTGTGGTTTCAGACCAGGAGGGAAGTGAAAAGTGCATGGAAGAGCTCAAGGAAATACAGAAAGAGATTGCACAGGGTTTGGGATTGAGTGTCCGGTGAGTGTATTTGCTGTGTGTTGAACGACAGCTGACAAGAGACCAGAGTGTTGGACATGCCAACAGAAGAACTCGGCGCGAGCGCACAGAGAAAGTACGATATGGAAGCGTGGATGCCCGGGCGTGGTAACTGGGGAGAGGCAAGTCCCATTTCGTATCCTCTGATTCTACCACCTAACATGACAGCAGATTACTTCCACATCGAATTGCATAGACTATCAAGCCCGCCGTCTCGCCATTACTTACCGCCCCGCCCCCAGCTCGCCTACAGCATCGATAGAACCGTCCTCTGGTCCTCTGCCATTCGCGCATACTCTTAATGGTACAGCGGCAGCCATCCCCAGACTGCTCGTGGCGCTGCTCGAGAATGGATTGACGTATGAGAAGAAGGGAGAAGATGTGGTCTATACCGGGCTGAGATTGCCAGAGGTATTGAAGAGGTTCTATGTGGGCGGGGATGAGCTGGGAGACAAGGGCAAGAAGGGAGTCATTACCTGGGTATAGAAAGTAGACACGTCATATAGTATAATTCATTCACACTTCATCAGCATGCCACCCATATGGTGCTTTCATGTAGCGAGCACAGTGTGACATTTGCATTTCGTATATATATAAGCTTCTTTCGTCTACCCATCTACAAACACCGTAACGCCGCCGACCTAAGCCTTCGCCAAAGTGGCGAGGAGGCCAGTAGGACCAGCCTGGGAAGGCTCGCCGTCGGGAGTCTGCACGATCATCAGTTATGGATATACCACAATCACTCGATCTACTCACAACGTAGCACTTGTGAAGACCACCGTCAACCATAAAGTCGGTACCGTTAATGTAAGAAGAGTCATCCGAAGCCACTGCACCTCCATCAGCTTTGATCACGGGACATACACGAAAGGACTCACAGAAGACAACAGCCTTGGCCTGCTCGACGGCCTCTCCAAATCTCCCCATAGGCACATGCACCATCCTCCTGTTCAACCTCTCTGGTGTGTTCAAAAAGTCCATCAAGAGCGGTGTGCGGATAGGGCCGGGACACAGAGCGTTCAAACGAATGTTTTCACGGGCGTGGACCATGGCGAGTTCACGGGTCATGGCGAGGACAGCACCCTTGGAGGCAGTGTAGGCGAGCTGGGGGGTGGCAGCACCGAGGACGGCGACGAAAGAGGCAACGTTGATGATGGAACCACCGGTGGAGAGACCCTTCTCGGGCTCTTCCTTGTTCTGTGTATACTTTTAGCGTGGGGGAGGGCATAGACGAGGCAAAGGACGTACGTTTCGCATGGCCTGGATGGCATGCTTGCAGCCATACCACACACCCTTGACATTGATAGCCTGGGTAAGGTCCCAAATCTTCTCCTCGGTGGCGATAGCGTCGTCGTCGGCAGGGTGCATGATACCAGCGTTGTTGAACTGTGTCCTTATCAGCCGCCGCACGCGCCCTCCATCCCGTCCCCTCCCGTGGCCAGATAAGACTCACAAGTACGTCCAATCGCCCAAACACTTCCACAGCCTTGTCAATCATCGCCTTGACCTCGGGCTCCTTGCTCACGTCGCACTTGACGGCGACAGTGCCAGAGGTGGGGTAGTGCTTGTTGATGAGGTCGGCGGCGGCCTGGACAGCAGGAAGATTGATGTCGGAGATGACCAGGGACGCGCCTTCAGAGGCGAATTGGAGGGCGGTTTCAAGACCGATGCCGCTGTAGTGTCGATGTTAGTATAAGAAAGAGGCTGGATTCGTCTCTATACGCACGATCCGGCGCCAGTGATGACGGCGACCTGCAGAGGGTGTCAGCTGCGTAGATAGCGCGAGGCAGGCAGCTTACCTTGTTCTCGAGCCTGAGTCTGGGAGTGGGAGCCATGGTGTATGTATGTATGTGGTGGTGGGATAGAATTAAACAAGAAATAAGAAGAAAAGAGACATGAGATGCGAATTGTGGCGTAGAATAGTGCAAAGTAGAATCCGGGGGAAGATGTCGCGTAGTTCAGGCAGATCCCGGCGGACTTCGGCAGAACTAGCGATAGCTGATAGCGGGACCCACCCGAGGGCCGAACAACTTTCTCTCGTCATCCTGCGTGGGGTACGGTCATAGTTGCTACATCCGAGACACCGATAAAGGTAAACAATAACAATGCATAGATACCCAAACGAACATTATATTCTATAGACTTCTGATAAGAGCCAAACGCCGGGCTGTCTCTCTAGCTCTTCTTGTACAGGGGTCGGATCTTTATCAGCCTGTGCAGTTCGTTAGTCGATGATAAGGCTGGTGACAACCTACTCACCAAGTGAACAGGAAGCAGAAGGCGACATTGGAGATACACCAGACGATAGTCAAAGCCCAGTCTCGCCACATTGTGCCTTCCGAAAAGCCCATCTCCTTCACATAGTCGCTTCCGGTGCTACTTGAGCAGTACTGGCACGCAGACGTGGCATCTGGGTTTACTAGATATCCTGATGTGGTGGACAGGTATGAAGCAGCATAGTCGATGCAGGTCTGGCCGGACGGGGGGTTGAAGGTGATGAGGTCTTTGGCGGTGCAGGTGAGTGGGAGGTGGACGAGCGAGGCGGTCATGAGGGCGCCGTAGAGGTATCGAAGAGGAGATAGCCACTGTGAACAATGTTAGAGACTGTAAGGGTAGTTACAGGTGAGACTTACACTGAAAAAGTAGTGGAAAGGCGCAGGAAGGGCGTCGTAGAACACCAGAGCCCATGACAGAGTATTGAGTACTGCAGCGATGTCAGCCAGTACTCCAGATGCGATGAAAGGTAGACTCACAGTTCCAAACGAGAGACAGGATGTAAGGCAGAGACATTCTTTCGGGTGAGACAGCACCCAAAAGAATACCAAAGCCTGCAGTCAAGAACGCGCACAAGACGAAACAAAGCCAGATCAACACTCCATCCCCAGGCGTCCCAACGAATCCCGCCGTCCAGTAGAAACAGAAGAACAGGATATTCCAGCCGAGCAAAAGTACTGGCATCGCGACCACGAGCAGCGAGGTGATCAGTGCCTGCCATGAGTAGATACCCAGCCTTTCTCGGGCGAGGTACATGTCGAGTTTGGCGAGGTAGTTGATACCCACGTCCATTACTATTCCCGGCATGGCTTGGACGGTGACCAAGAGGCAGAGGGAGGCAGCGGACATGTTGCTTGGAGTGTGGTCGATGTGGAAGAAGTAGAAGCCGACGAAAAGGCCGAAGAAGATGGTGAGGACCATTTGCGTAGTCCAGAAGGAGCCATCTACGAGACGTCAGCTGCATCGATTGGTATAGGACAGTGGACTTACCTCGCCACTGAGCCCTGAAGTTTCTTACAACCAGTTCTTTGGTCTGGACCATGAAGGAAGACGCATAAGCATCATGTCCCTCCTCGGGTTCTGCATCGCTTTGCTTTTCCAGGTCGGCAGACTTGTGCTGGTGGCGAGAAGTGTATTCGCTGATCTTGGCTTGGACGTTTGCGGCCTCAGGGGACTCTTTCCAGAGCCCAGGCCAGTCGACTGTAGTGCCTCCAACGGGCGCAACGCTTCGGAACGTCAGTCGGTGACAACAAGTTGAAGCGGAGACTCACGTGTTCAAAAGCACCTCAGCAGGGTTCGCCTCGGGCGGACAGTCGGCACCTCTAGACGCAAAGTAGTTGACGACAGTACTGGCGTGTTCTCCAGTCTCTCCCATGTAGACAGTGTGTCCACCTGGCGCCAGAAGCACGACCGAGTCAAACATCTCAAACAAGTCGCCCGACGGTTGGTGGATCGTACAGAGCACAGCGAGACCGGAGGCCGCGATACGTTTGAGGAAACGGACGATCTCGTAGGAAGCTTGGGAGTCGAGGCCCGAGGTGGGCTCGTCGAGGAAGAGCAGGAACTCGGGGTCTGCAGCGAGCTCGACACCTGAGAGAGAGTTAATCAAAGTCCCACAAAGCAGCGCTCAGACTTACCAATAGTGACGCGCTTACGCTCCTCAACACCCAATCCATCGGCTCCTGGAACACCAATCAACGCATCTGCAATGTCTTGCAGCTCCAAAAGCTTGATGATGCCCTCCGCAAAGTCCAACCTCTCTTGTCGCGTCCTGTTGTTGCTCTGACGCAGGAGGGCGGAGAATTGAAGACACTCGCGGACAGTAGACATGGGCTCATGGATGTCGGATTGCATGGCGAATCCGGTGGAGCGAGAGAAGGTAGAGTCGAGAGGCTTGCCGTCGATGGTCATGACACCTTCGATCTTGCCAGTCGTCTTGCGCAAAGAGATCGTATCCTTGTATGAGTCAGCTTTTGATAGCCCATGGTAAGGAATCTGACTCACCAGAAGCGTCGTCTTGCCTGCACCAGAAGCACCCATAAGAGCTGTCAAGGACCCGCCCTTGACATACCCAGAAATCCCATTCAGTAACGGCTTATCCTTCCCGTCTACCTGGACTGTGTACCGCACATCGTTGAATGTATACACCGGCGTCTCTTTCTCAGCCTGGCTACCGGGACCTTTGAACATGTCGAGGGCGGCTTTGCCTTCTTCAGTCTTTTCGCGCGAAGTGAGGGTGCGGGTCTCGGCTCCGCGCTTGTAGACCTTCTGAGAGGATTCGGGAGTGTCACGGATGAGGAGGTTGGAGCCGACAATGATAAGACAGACATAAGCTGCAAAAGCGTCAGTACTTATCGATATCACAGTCTCATTACTCACCGACAAAGAAGGCCCACATGAGACCGATATCTCTCCACACCGTCCCCTGCGTATATCCATAAACTTCATGCACATACTGCATCCCTGGTACATCCACCTGCCCGGCGCTTGCTCCTCGGATAGAACAAGTCTGGTAGGCCGTGTTGTCGTAGCCGGATCCGGAAGGGATGAGGCTGGTAGAGTCGCAATGGAGAGTACGGGTTTGGAATTCGTTGACCATGAGGGCTTCGAAGGCCCAAGCTGCTGGGTTGGCGCGGCGTAGCCAGGACATCCAGCGTACTATGTGGCATCAGCAGAAGTTTGATCAAAAGAAGGCTACTCACATTGCTCAGGGGGCGGGAGACCAAAGCCAGCGGTACATAGCACTGTCGAAAGCGCCAACACGCCATACCGGATAGCCACCGATACGTTCGGCGACCACGACCCGATCATACGGTACATGACCGAGACCGTCTCATACAGCGTAAACACGATGAACCAGAATGTGAAAAAGTACTTTGCGCCAGAGTTGAGCCCGACGAGAAAGTAGAAGATGCTGGAGAAGAGGAGAGTTTGGAGGATGTAAATGGGAATGTCGCAGACGATTTGGGCGATGGTGTTGGCGGCGGGGTGGTAGAAGCCGAGAGCGCGATGTTTCTTGAAGAGTGGTCGAGAGTTGACGGTTGCCGGAATCTCACCGAGACCAAAGATGACATAGTACAAGATGCTGAAGAAGAGGGCACCGGCGATGGCGAATGAGCCTTGGGCGTTGCTCTTGGGTTTGTAGCCTATACTGCGTTAGATCCTGTCAATGCCAAGGAATAGGGACTTACAGACTGCGCCGACGAGAGTAGCTTGGAGGACATTGGACCCGATTCGGTAGGCAAAGCTTCGCTTGTCGTTCATCGTCTGCTGATACTGCCTCTTGCACAAGATGGCAACCTGGCTCGCAAAGTTTTGTCTGTAGGGAGTCTTCTTGCCACCACCGTGGTGCTTCATTCTCTTGACTGCCTTTCTAAACTCGTCAGAGTGAGAAGACTCGCTATGACGCTCCTTGTAAGACTGAATATCCTGTTGGAGCTCTTTGAACTCGACGCTTTCGAGAAAGTAGCATTCAAACTGTTCTGGGGTGGTAGGGACAGAGTGCTCGTAGCCTTCTCGAGGTCGACGCTCGTTCTCGGAAGTCACGGCGGTCAAGAAGTCGGGGGTGCTACATATCTCTCAGCGAATATAGGGGTCAATAAAGATGTGACTCACGTCTGCCGGGGCTTCTTGTACCATCCCATATTCTCGAAGTAAGCCTGAGCCTTGCTAGCCCGGCCAGAGTAGATCTGACGGCCCTCGTAGATGACCACGACTCTGTCGACACACTCCCAAGCGTCTTGAGCCGTCTGGTATGTGGAGATGATCTACCAGAGTGTCAGACTTGTGTGAAGAGGTTGTATAGCTGTACTCACGTTGACCATCCCCAGAGACTTGGAAAGCTCCCTCAACACTCGGTAGAAATGGAGAGCGACAGCAGAGTCCAAGCCACGGATGGGGTTGTCCCAGCAGATGACAGCGGCATTTGTCGTAAGAATCTCGGAAAGGGAGACACGCTTTCGTTCACCTCCAGAGACACCGCGGATGAATTGGTCGCCAACTGGAAGAGTGTCAGGAATGATCACGATGAAGCTCGTCACACTCACCTTTGGTCTTTCTTGTGTGAGGCATACCGAACGTATGCAAGAGATTGCTGAAGATGCTTTCGACGTACTCCCCTCTTTTCTCTTTGTTGGCCTTCTTCCGGGGTTCTTTCAGGCGGATAGCAGTCTTTAGAGTCTCTTCGACAGTGAGAAGGGGAATATTTTCGTCGTCTTCGGCGTTGAAGACGATCTCGCCGTCATAATACCTGGATATCATTAGTCGATCCCAATTGGGAAGGGTAAGGAGGCTTACTTTTTGGCTTCGTGAGCAGGGATATCAGAGTACGCAATGTCACCCTTGACCGCCACGAAAGGTTCGGTGACATTGGACAAGGCTCGCATAAGAGTAGAGCAGCCGGAGCCAGGGCGACCGAGGACGAGGAGGACCTCTCCCTCTTCAACCACACCGGAAAAGTTCTGGATGAGCGGGCGAGTCGGTCCGGTTGTTATTTGGAATATCTTCTTGACAAAGCCCCAGACATAGAATACCTGAGGGATGTCAACGGTGCTCTTTCGCATTCAAAAGGAACTCACTCTCAGAGCAGACATGTCGAACGATTGCACGGTGAGTTTTTTACTGCCACCAGATCCTTCGACTGTGACATTCTCCCAGACGACGCCTAATGAGTGGTGACCAGCATCTGGCAAGGGAAGACTGCCGGGCTCGGAAAAGATACCCTTGATAGGCTTATTGTTATTAGCTATCGACTTGTCGGATTGAGCTTCTTCCATTGTAGACGATGACGAGGCTGATAATTGGATAGTGGTAGGAGTGATTGCTGCCTCGCGATCGCTGAGGGGGTAAGTCATGGCGAGGTGGGTGGTGGGGGTCGGTACGGAGCCGGCCAGACGTTATATACTCATCTCGCATCCCTTGGGCACCGTGCCCTTACGTGAGCCATGCGGCGTTAGCTTACTGAGAGTGACTGATACATGTCAGCAAGTAGCTGAGATTGGCGAGATAGTCTTGCAATTGCCCGCTGCTTGTCACAGATAGCGGAGGATAGCGACGTTCCTGGGCATTTGGGTGCGGGGCATTCTGGTGATATGGCCGCTGCTAATTGACCGCAGCCAAAATTGGTCCCGCCCGTGCCCGACGGTTCACGATGATGACGGCGGTGGTTGTTCCAGTGACAACAAATCGAGACCCCTGCTATCCTCAACAGATGTCCACCTCCCCCGTCGCCACGTACGTACGAGTATCTCGGGCCCCTACAAGGCTTACCCCGTCGCAGCTGGGACACCATCCAGGATGTCTTCTACCGCAAGGACACCGTCTATGACATGTCCTGGTCCATACCAGACCTCTCAGACTATATCGTTGCCACAGCGAAGAATGGAGGCCCTGTTGGTGAGCTCGCCAAGTCTGCGTCTGTAGTAATGTACTGACGTCTATCGAGCCATGATCAGGGATGAGCGCAAAATCATGCTACTCGGCAGACATGCTGCAGGAAAGCCCAAGATCTACGTCTATACATCCTCAGGTATACTCCTCAGCACTCTTACATGGGACTTGACCCCACCAGTGCTGCTTCACTTTACCTCACAAAACTTGATTGTCCTTTCCGACGAAGGTCTTTACCGGGTCTACGACTTGTCAAATCCGACAGAGTACAAGCAATATACGCTCGGGAGCGAAGTGTCGAGCGTGGGGATCATAGAAGCTCAAGCATGGGAGGATGGGCTGGTGGTGCTGACGGGAGATCTGCAATTCTTGGAAGTACGGCGATGGGGTGGTGGTCGGGCGGTGCCCCTGTGCCCGAGTGGTGAGCTCAACCATCCTCCATGAGATGCGATATTGACGCGTTCGCAGAGCTGAAAGAGCTACCGGCATCTTGGACTCTATTGTCTCCCGATAAATCACCCTCAGGACACGTCCAGGTACTCTTCTCCATCAACGACACCATCATCACTCTCGACGCTCTTGAGCGCATCGACCAGCACGTCTCTCGCGGTCCCTTCTCCCAGATCAGGATCTCGCCCAACGGACGATTCCTTGCTCTCCTCACAGTGTTCAACACCTTATGGGTCGTTTCCTCTGATCTCAGCCGAAACCTGTCCGAAGTGGACGTTTCGCAGTGGGGCGATGGACAGCCGGACAGGGTGGAGTGGTGCGGCGACAACGCGGTGGTGATTGCCTGGGGCGGTAAGGTGGCAGTTGCTGGCCCCGGTGGAGATTGCCTGATATACGACTACCCTCCATCAGCCCATTTGGTCGGCGAAACCGACGGCCTGAGAGTGATATCCTCCCACGTCTGCGACTTTATCCAAAAGGTCCCAGACTATTCACTCGCAGTGTTCAAACCAGGCTCTACACATCCTGCTGCCATCCTCCTTGATGCTCTGGATCATTTCGAGAGAAAGTCGCCGAAGGCAGATGAGAGTGTGCGGTATATCAGGGCAGAGCTGGCAGATGCGGTGGATACGTGCATAGAGGCGGCCGGAAGGGAGATCGATTCGTATTGGCAAAAGAGGCTGCTGAGGGTGAGTAGGCGTTTGTCGAAAGTGACAAGGCTGACTCTCTGTAGGCTGCTCAATTCGGCCGGGCATTCATAGACCTGTACAACCCCTCCGACTTTGTAGAAATGGCGCAAACCCTCAAGGTCCTCAATGCGGTCAGATACTACCAAGTAGGCATACCCATCACCTACGAACAGTACACCTCTGCGTCCCCGACCTTCCTCATCTCCCACTTGGTATCACGAAACCTCCACCTCCTCGCTCTCCGTATCTCTCAACACCTGCATCTACGCCCGGACGCGGTGCTGAAACACTGGGCCATCGCCAAAATCACCCACGCGTCTTCCCAAAGCATCGACCCCTCTGAGCGGGGCATCGCAGACGACCACAACATATGCTCCGCCATCGTCTCCAAATTCCAGAAAGAAGGTAAACGCAGCGTGTCTTATGCCGAGATTGCCAAGAAGGCGTGGGAGGCTGGGAGGACGAGGTTGGCGACGATGTTATTGGATCATGAGCCGAGGGCCGCGGAGCAGGTGCCGTTGCTGTTGCAGATGAAGCAGGACAAGCTTGCTCTGGGGAAGGCTGTTGACTCAGGGGATACTGATCTGGGTAAGCAACGCTTTGTAGAGAGGAAAGATCATGACTGATGACATGATAGTGTATCAGGTCCTTCTCAACCTTCACTCCTCTCTCACGCCAGGTGACTTTTTCCATCTCCTCGACGACTCTCTCTCTCCCAACCTCACCCCCGCCGTCAACCTCCTCCAGGTCTACGCCCGCCAATCCGACCGAGAGCTGCTACGCAACTTCTATTACCAAGATGACAGACGAACAGAGAATGGGTGTCTGGACATGGAAGAAGCCGGCGAGAGTGCGAGCGTGGAAAAGCGCAAAGAGAGGCTTGGCGAAGCGGCAAGGCATTTCGGGGAAAGCAAAGAGCGAGCATTCGAATCCAAGATGGCCGAAGACGCCCAACGTCTTCTCACCCTCCAAGACTCGTACCAAAACGAGCTCTCCACACCCACACACCAATACTACTTTGCTTCTCTCTCCGTCGACGCCTTCATCCACGCCCTGCTCGTAGGCGGGTTCAGCAAACGCGCGGAAAAGGTGCGATCAGACTTTAGAGTTCCAGACAAGAGGTTCTGGTGGGTCAAGCTGAAAGCGCTGGCCGAGGTGAAGGACTGGGATGCGCTGGAAGTGTTTGCAAAGGCAAAGAAGAGCCCGATTGGTTATGAGCCGTTTGTTAGGCATCTGTTGAAGGTGGGAGAGCCGCAGAAGGCGGTGAGTTATGTCGCGAGATGTGATGCGAAGGCTAGGGTGGATTTGTATGTGGAATGTGGAGAATGGGGGAGGGCAGCAGAGTTGGCGAGAGAGAAGGGAGACAAGGGGAGGTTAGAGTGAGTCATGAGCAGTACCGGGTGGACGTGCCGCTGATACTTGTGCAGACAACTTAAGAGGCAAGCACCTACTGGTCTCGCTCAAAGAGATGTCGAAGAGGTCATGAGAAGACCGGGAAAATAGATAGACGTTGTCTCACGAAGAAGGGAACGTGTACTTGTACTATACTAATGACTATTGTACATGCATACGTATCATCATACACAATGTTTCAATGCCTTATGCCTTTTTCTAATTGCGATGCTGAGATATGTGCCGCCCGCACCATCTCCAAGATGATACAAAGATGATTATTGCACTTTTATATGTCAGCTCAATCCGATTCACATGAACAAAAGACTCACAAAGAGGGTCTCGGAAATGGGCTTGACTATTGTGAATGTACCCAACCCTGGTCTTGTGCAGCTCCCTGAACTTTTGGTCCGCAAAACTCCTGCCCTGCTTCTTGGCCCACTTGGCCTCACCGGCGTTCCTCGCCTTCATCAACTGCTGGCCCTTGCCGAATGCCCCGTGACCACCAGCGGTCGGCACCAACGCAAGAGTGGGGTCGGCAAGGCGCTTGCGGACCTGAGCCACTTTGAGAGAGGAGGGATCGACGCCAGACTCGGTGGCGGGTCGGTAGCGTTGGTCGTAGTAGACCTTGAGGGATCGGTGGCCGAGAGTACGGCCAGAGGGGAGGACGAGGGAAAGACCGTCAGAGGCAAGGGCGACAGAGCGCTTCTTGCCCTTGACCGGCTTCTCGCCAACGTCAATAATCTCCTCGTCGGAGCCGAGCTCTTCATCGTCTCCATCCTCATCCTCCCATTGCTCATCTTCACTCCCACTCTCATACGCGTAAAAGTCTGCCAACTCTGTACGGTCCTCCACCGTCTCGTACGCCAACTTGCAGTGGTTCTTGTCGATCATGTGTCTCCTCACAGCCTCCATGCTGCCGAACTCTTTTCCGCCGTTGGGGCAGTAGAGACACATGTTGGCACCAGCAATCTTTTCACTCAAGTACCCAAGCAAACCAGAGAGGTCGACAAGAATATCTTGGTCGGGGATGAAGAAGGAGTGGGCGCTAGCCATGTGGGAGACGTTCTCCTCGAGGGATTCGAGATGTCGGGTACAGAAGAGACAGTCGGTGGGCTTTATACGGCGTCGAATGTTGGCCATACGAGTCTCGAAATCGACTTCTTCCTCTTCCTCGCCTTCCTCGCCATCAACTTCCATACCGGTCTCTTCCTTCTCTTCCTCGCTGTCCGACTCTTCGTCCTGGGCTTGAGAGGTAGAAGCAACAGGCTCGGGCTGCTCGCCGGATCGAGCATAGCTAGCTTCCATATCTCGGTGCTTTCTCGACTGGACGTGGGTTCGGTAGGCGTTCTCGGAAGAGAATGTCTTTCTGTGTATTGTCAGTGACTGCCGCCACAAAAATTCATTCGGCTCACCTGCAAGCGGCACAAGCCATGCTCCTGGGGTCCGTCCTGACGGCATTCTGCTCTCTCCTCTCGATGACCTTTTCGTTGAAGGCCGAGGCGGGGACTGGAGGCAAGCTTGCGACTCTCCTCTTCATGTTGTACCGATGCCAGTCGGTCAAGAAGTGGCCACGCTGCTCATCGGCAGTCTCGAATGCGACTCTGCAGGAGATACAGGTGAACATGGTCGTGGATTGTAAAGATGTATTAGAAAGTCGTTGAATCCATGAGTAATGGTGGCAAAACTTCAAGGAAGAACTGGCAGCGCTTACGTAAAATGGGAGGTGGAGGTTGTTTTGGAAAAGTTGTGAATTCCTGATCCATCACTTTCAACGACGAACGCCAAAAACCAGCAGCGATGGCAGCCCCCACCCCCTCCTGGGCACTCGCAGACAACCAGACCACAGACCCCAAAGACAAGTCCGCAGGCCCCGGCGCACAATGGCGTGCCCTCAGTACGTCCTGCCACAAATCTCGGAACAACCTCTGACCATGTTGCAGATGTCGGCCCAGACCTCATCAGGTCTTTGCTCGTTCGAAAGTTCAAGTCCCCCACCCCCATTCAGCGAGCCAGTATCCCGACCGCACTGTCTACACCTCCCAGGGATATCCTTGGTATGGCCAGGACCGGTTCGGGTAAGACGCTCGCCTACATGATTCCTCTTCTCCAGCGAACAGGAGCGGCACACCGAAGCCAAGGACCTCGAGCTTTGATTTTGTGCCCGAGTCGAGAATTGGCCATGCAGATCTACACTGTCGGAAAGGACCTTGTGCGAGGAATGAGCAAAAAGGGAAAGGGCAAGAAGAAGGTCGACGAGGACGAAGAGATGGCGGAGGACGCTGAAGCAAAAGAAGCTCTACGATGGGCAGTCATTATTGGTGGTGAAGGAATGGATGCTCAGTTCAGCAAAATGTCTTCAGAACCAGACATGTAAGTCGAGTGGTTTTACATCTGAATCAGCTGATTCGTTCTAGTATCATTGCCACCCCTGGTCGATTCCTGCATCTTATCGTTGAAATGAAGATGGACCTCCGTCACCTCCAAACCGTCATCTACGACGAAGCCGACCGTCTTTTCGAAATGGGTTTCGACGTTCAGTTGCGGGAAATCTTGCACCGTCTCCCCTCCACCCGCCAAAACCTTCTCTTCTCCGCCACCCTCCCCACGTCTGTGGCCGAATTCGCGAAAGCCGGTCTCGTAAACCCTTTGCTCGTTCGATTGGACTCGGAGCAAAAGATCTCCGAAGACTTGTCGCTCAAGTTCTTTGCCGTTAAACCTACCGAGAAAGAAGCGGCCTTGCTTGTCCTTCTTCGCGAGGTTCTCGGTAAACCCAACCAGCCCCAAATGTCGGAAACCAACGCCTCCCCTCAAGCTATCGTCTTTGTCGCTACCAAACATCACGTCGACTACGTCGCCGAGCTCCTCCGCATCACCGGCTACCGCACGTCCCTGATTTACTCGTCTCTCGACCAAGTTGCCCGTCAACAACAGTTGGCAGGCTTCAGGTCGCACAAGTCGGATGTGCTGGTCGTCACTGATGTTGCTGCTCGTGGTCTTGATATCCCCATCATGGACCATGTGATCAACTACGATTTCCCTGCCGGCGCGCGTATCTTTATTCACCGAGTCGGTCGTACAGCCCGTGCTGGAAGAAAGGGTACCGCCTATTCCTTGGTCGTCAAAGAGGACTACCCTTACTTCTGCGACCTCCATGCTTTCATCGGCGCCGAGCGTCTTGGCGAGGCACAATATACTCTCCGCAGTATGCCCACCGAGCTCTTGAGCGAAAATGTCGAGTACGTCTTTTCGTCCTTAGAAGAAATTGCGCCGCATCTCTCCGCTTTGAGGGGCGTCATGAAGAAGGGTCAAGGAATGTTTGAACGTTCACGCACAAAGGCCAACCCCACTTCTTACCGCGCCTCCAAAGCGCTTTCCACTGCCCTCTCTGCCCGGGGCGGAGCGAGGTTGGATGAGATGTTTGAAAATGCCATGGAGGACGAAGTGAATGAGGAAAAAGCACGATTGCTCAAGCAAGTGGCCGAGTTTACGCCAGACTGGACGGTGTTTGAAGTTGGAAAGCGGGAGAGTGAGAGTGCCATTATCATGCAGAAGCGGAGGAAGACGGTCGACGAAAAAAAGAAGCGTGCTTCAAAGGCCGAGGCCGACCAGGCAGCTGCGAGCGGCATAGAGAGGGCGGTGAAGGCCAAGGAGAGAAGGAGAGCGGCTGTGCTCCCTCAGTTGCCCGAGAAAGATTGGAAAGACCCTTCCTTCTTCCTTGACCATACCCGCTCAGGCGCCGACGAAGAGAAGGGTTACTCTCTGAAAACCGGCGCAGACGTGCCCACAAATCTCAACAATGCCGTCACAGACTTTACCGCCGACGAAGGGGCGGGGCCCAGAGCTCAAAAGGCTTCTCAACTCTCTTGGGATCGTAAGAAGCACAAGTTTATCCAAAAGAGCGGCAGTGCCGAAGGAGTAAAGATGATCAAGAGTGAGAGTGGAGCGCTGCTGCCAGCGACGTATAGCAGCGGCAAGTACAAGGAGTGGCAGAAGAAGAGGAAGAATGTGGTGGACGGGCCTGTTGACCCGCTCAGCGGCGCGGTCGGGGGACAGGGGAGGAAGGGCAAGCATGGACCAGTGGGTGTCAAGAGGAAGGATAGGGAAGAAGGCGACGGGGAGGAGAGCGGTCCCAGGGGCAAGGGCGGCAGGGACGGCGACAGGCCCGGGAAGCCGGGCAAGAAGGGTGGGGTCAAGCAGTCTTCTGGTATCAGATCTGCCGAAGATATCAGAAAACACAGAGCTACAATGGCCAAGGTATGTCAAATCATCATTTTGATGGGGCGTGGCGCTGACAACTCGAACAGAGAAAGGAGAAGAACGCCCGAAAGCCCCACAAGTTCAGGAAGTAGAGTCTCTGGAGGGGTCATCAGGTTATTTGAAGTCGGGCGTAGTGTATTGCATCTTGGGTTCAGGTTTCGTCATAGTAATCCCATGCATCTATTGTACTATAGGCAAGTACCCAGGTATAAAGGTGGTTCTAGTATTCATTGGACGAATACCCTCAATTCACATCATCTCATCATAGACCTCAAAATAACAATCGGACATTAGCACAAGAAAGGCTTCGTATAATATCATGGTATCTTTAGAACAACGTAACACTGCAGAAACAAGCGTCAGTAGTCTGTACAGAAGGGATTGAAGAAGACGTACAAATTGCTTGGGAAATCGGTCTTTCCAGCGATCCTCCTCGCTTCATCCAACAGCTCTCCGGACCACCACCCATCCTCGGGCGTACTGGTCACGGCGATGATATCGCCTTCCTGGAAGTCAAACTCTGCAGAAGATTTGGCTTCGTAGCTGTACAACGCCTTGACGTCTAGACACACGGTGTTCGTTAGTTATGTGGATGTTTCAAGTGTATGTGGACTTACAGAACAAGACAGGAAGGCCGGTGGTAGACCATTGTCCGGTGGGCGCAGCATTAGCGGGAGGCTGGTTCGGTACCGGACTGGGCGACCTTCTAGGTTGACCGTAACCTTGCTGATGCTGGTCGTAGCCGTATGACTGAACTCCGGGCACCGGGCTAACACCTCTACCGTACTGCTGAGCCCCAGGAGCAGGGCTCACACCACGAGCGTATTGTTGGGCCTGGGCAGGAGCGGGGCTGACGCCTCTCTGATATTGCTGAGCTTGGGCACCAGGAGCGGGGCTGACGCCTCTCTGATACTGCTGGGACTGTACCCCGGGAGTAGGACTGACTCCTCTCGCGTACTGCTGGCCTTGGTATCCCTGATTCTGCGCGTACATTGGTTGCTGCTGAGGCTGAGGCGAAGGCCCTCGACCATAAGCAGCACCTTGGTTATAGCCAGAGTTGGGTCTTTGGGAGTAGTTGGGCTCAGGAGCGGGAGCCTGTTGGGCGTAAGGCGCCTGAGTGGAAGAGGCGTATTGTCCATAAGCCGGCTGAGAGGCTGGAGCATACGGCGAGTGAGGGCTCGGTACAGCGTTCTGATCGTATTGCTGCTGCTGAGGTTGGCCATAGTTGGAAATGGGGCGATTAGAGACAGCAGGCGGCCCCACAGCGGGCAAAGCAGCCACAGGCGATTTGGGCGCGCCATAGACGGAACCTCTTTGACCATACCCAGGCTGCGAGGATGGCGCTGGCGATGGACCACGGCCGGCGGAAGCACTGTACTGGGAGCTCCTCTGCCCGGGATAACTGCCCATCTGCGGACCAGGAGCAGAAGGTGGAGGCTGATTCTGCTGCTGCTGCTGCTGGTATTGCCGCCTGTATTGCTCCGCCATAGTATCTTGCGCCACTCCACCCTTTGCGTCCAGCGAGATGCCCAAATTCTGGGGTCCAAGTGCACCGGGAGAGATGGCAGGGCTCGGCGAGGGCGAGCGGAACGAAGGTGGCTGAGGACTGGGACTGCGCGCGGCATTTCCAGCACCAATACCCACGAATCCTTGTCTCGGCTGGGCACTCGGGGATGGGGGCGCCTGCTGAGGAGGCTCAATGAAGGAACTTCTAGACCTGTTGGACATGACAGATCCTGCCCTAGACCTAGACTGCTCGCGTTCGCCAGGGAAGGCTTGGTGGTACTGAGAAAGTACCTCATCTGCGATGTGAGTTGCAGGTTGTTTGGGAGCCTGCATCATGGCAGGTGAAGGACCGCGGCCAGTGGTAGGTGACATGACAGGTGTGGTAGGTCGTGAAGTGGGGTGAGAACCGACAATGTCGTCCGCAAAGTTGGAGTAGTTGACGCTGTTGCGGTTATTCTGGGCAGAGTGGTGCTTGAATTCGTCCATGGATCTGGCCAAGGCAGCAGCAGTATGACCACCAGGAGGAGGCGACAACGAAGAGTCGATAGGAGGCGATCGCGACTGCGCGGGTACGGAACCTTGGTGGTACGAGTGCCTGCCTGGTCCGGGCGAAGCTGGCGACTTGATGCCCCCTCCATATGCACTACCCCTAGCCGATCCAGCAGCAGACACGACACTATCTGCCCTTCTGTGACTGGGCGCTCTCCTGACGCTGCTAGGAGGCGGCGGGTCTCGGCGCAGCTCAGCCAGAGCCTTGGCCATAGGATCTTGCTCATCATTGATATCTCGTCGAGGAGAAGGAGGACCCTGGCTTTGACGGGAAGGTACGCGAGGTTCCGGCATAGACAAAGTCGAGGGCAC